AAAGAGAATCAGAATTAGAAGACGCCATATCAAATATTTATAATTTTTTAAAATTCAGAAACAATAGAACTGGAGTACATTTCAGATGCACAGACCTCCAGATCCAACAACCGCAAAGTAAAGATAAAAAGGCATAATCTTTCTCCAGATGCATTGTAATATATGGCATGAAAAAAAGGATTCTATTGTTGATTCTATTATTGTTCTTTCTATACTACTCTAGGATCCTGCTCACCTTGAAGAAAAAAAGGATGCTTCAGAGTTCTCTAACATGGTTTATGGATTAGAGTTTTATGATTCATATGCGACTAAGAAACTTTAGTGATATGTTACACGGTTAGCTCCATATGCAAATCAATAACTATTTAAAATCAGGAACGTTGATGATCTAATATAATACGAGTTTGATCATTTGTTGCAGCATGTGAACAGGTTCCCTTGTAAAAAAAATAAATTCCTGAATTTTACTTAATTCAAGATTTTGCCATTCAGAATCCATAAATATAAGAGAAGATTAAATAAGACAAACTTGAAGCTTTTCATGCTCTATCAGTTGGAGGATTAGTTACAACCAAGAATCAGAAAAATAGGACGCCGAACTGATAGCCATATCCATTATACAGCGGATCATTACCAAGCATCAAAAAATAGGACCTGACCTGATACCCATATCCATTATACGGAGGCATATAGCCCAATGGTAATGCTCCAAATATTGATGCCTGCTGCATTGAACTGGCATGAGGAACACCGTTGGCCTGAAATTGAGCTTTTTGTGCCCTTCGAGCTTGTCTTTGCTTTTCAGTGTCAGCCCACTTAACAACCAGAGGCACACTCGAACCCTGCATGGTGATCAAACTAAGATAAGCAAGCAGAAGAAAAAAAGTACTAACCTAAATTCCAACTACACGGGTGATCTGCAATACTAAGGCACAAAACTCAAAGCAACATATGTATTAACATCACAGGCATAAAACCCAAAGCAACATAGGTATCAATAACATAGACATTATGTTCAACAAATTGCCTCCAATGCTCTAATTTTAGTGCACTATCCAATTGAAAAATAACTCTAACCTTTGACCAGATTAGAAAAGGATCCTTCTCAATAAAATATTGCTAACCTAAGACTGTTCTACTTATCTTACTCTCCATGACAGTAAAAGCATGTCTTCTGGCTACAGGGCCAGCTGGTAAATCTAGCATCCTTTAACAACCCAAAATTTTCACGCACCGTAATGCTAAAGTTCTCTACTGCAATTAGAAATGGGTTATACCAGGAGCTTCCATCTTTCTAATCAAACATGTTAATATAGGAACCAAATTTCTCCCAGTAAAATGTCAAGATTGACTTGAAAGCTTCCATCAGTAACACAGGAAATCCCAACTCCCAAGTATAACGGAAAGGCTAATTAAGTTGCTTGGACCAAAATTGCAATTACAAAAGTTACGAAGTACATGATAAAGACAAAGGATACCATAACAATGAAAACAAGTGAAAAAACATAATATCAGGTAAGTACCATGAATATCATTATATAAACTTTTATATCAGAATAATACACAAAACTACAAATAACATGTTCATTGATTATCATAATTCACACAGAGAAAAGAAAATTCATGATATAGTCACCCTATGGTATTAACCACAATACATGCAACCCATGGTGTTCCCACCATAGCGCTCCTTACATTTGTTTTTCAGCCTAGTTCTGATCATCATCTTTTGGGCATATTCAAACCAAGTCAAATAATTGTCCTAATCTTAGCTCACTTAATCATACATTTAATCTCACCGCAACCACAATTGATAACTCGGTCTTTCTTGGTGTGACTAATCTTTTGAATGTAAGTGCAATAAAATGTACTGGTAGTAAAGTAAGAGATGTTTCAGGAAATTTGAAGTTCAGCAAACACAAACCTCCATCCTATGTTTCCCATTTAAGGCTTCAAGGGCTGCCAAAGCTTGTTCTTTCATTTCATATTTCAAGAATGCACAGCCAGCTATTTTATGGGGAAAAATGTTAATACTTAAAGATCAAATTTGCTTTATATAAAAACAAGAAGGAAATATATAACATGGATTTCAGTATGTCAAGGACAACTTATACCTTTACTTGTTTGCTGAGAACTTCTCAAGATCTGTAAATCCCTAATAGTACCATATTTTGAAAAGAGTTCTGCAACTTCAGCATCAGATATGTTCTTCGGAAGCATTCCAATGAAAAGTTTGTTTTCTAGATGAGAATTGCAAATACATCAAACGATCAGTTGTAAAATAACTTCTACTACACAATTTAAATTAAATTTTCAGTTTAACATAAGAAGTTACAAACAAGAAAAACGAATAAATGAATAAAGAAGTAAATATTTGTATTGTCACCTAGCCTCTCAAGCTCACCATCAGCATACTTTACTTGTAATGGACTAGAAGCCTGTGATGCAAAAGAAAGCACTTTCAGTCAGGTTTGACCAAAACCTATAATAAAATTCTAACCCCAAATTTTATAGAGCGGAAGAATTTAGAAGACATCAAGAAATACTGAGGAGTAGATAGGAATTGCAGATCATTAAAATTCTATCATGCAATTTATAAAAGAGTACTTATGACAACAAACATATTGCATTTTGTATGAGATAAAGAAAAAGAATGCAGTAAAAATGTAGATCTATGCAATGGCAAATGACAGGTTCTATATCATCAACCTTTGATTAGAAGACTTCAGCATCTTGACATATCAGAATTGTAAATTATGTCAATAAATATAAAGCAGCTAATTCACACATACATTACTTCTGGCCATTTCATGGCAGCAGAAGCCTGGTGATCCAACTTCAATTGTGGTACCAATGTAAATTCATAGGCTACATACACCAGCCTACAGTTAAGCACCAAGGACGCCAGAATAGCAGCATATTGTCTATATCATTTCATAACATCAGTTTGCAAAATCAGGAACCTGTGAAACACCCATTAAGAATTTAAGAAATATAATTGATTCAAAGAGTAATCTTGGTAATAGCATATATTTGAAATTGGATAATATAGCAATATTTTCCAGAATGCAGGGAGATGTTACTTTGGGGAACCTAATCTACTTTGTTAGTTAATAAATAATATTATATATTTTTTAAAAAATAATAAGATGCACCAATCCTGTGTATGGCTCAGTGCACAAAGCTTCCTCCAAACCAGGGTCTAGGAATAGTCAATTTATTTACTTTTACCCTTGCAAGCAGATACTCCAGTAGCTAATTACCAAAAAAACCACTGTCCTAAAAAAGGTGCACAATCAAAACAGAAAATTAGGGTAGTTTGGCTAGCAATGTGTACTTTGGAACGAACAGTCAATCCAAATTTATCTGGACAGTCGAAGAAAAGGGCTCCATCAGATTCAAGTAAAATGTTTGTTATTCAGGCGAATGACCATAAATTCAACTATGGACTTAAACAATATTTTGAAAAAGGTATTCTTTCGAGTGTCATCAAGTCATCAAGCTACGCATATGAATCCTGAATCCAGAATTCATCCATTCCTCAGTGGTGGTATACTTGAAACCTTCCCGTTGATTCAATTCCAGCAATGTAACAAGTAATCCCATGTCAAAAACCCTACGCCTCTGAGCGATCTCCAATAAACGGCAGACTATGACACAAATTGAACTACCACGACATGGTATCGGCATGATATCTCGAAAAGAATTACTCAGAATACACACAACCGCAACAGGGTGGTAAAATTCTACAATCAGCAACCCCTCCAACAGCTACAGAAAAGAAATGCAGATTCACAACACATGTATCATGTACTAAGGACAGAAACAAAATGGAGAAAGAGATCAGTTGGGGAATGCCATACACCGGGAAGTGTTCGTTTGTTATGGGAAGCGGCGACCGCCTTGTCGGCCTCCTGGCGCGAGGGGCAGATCAGGAAACAGCAACCTACGGAATTGACCAAGCAAATCCAACAACATAAGAGATCAAAGGTGAAGGATGACGAGAAGAGGAAAGAAGAGATCTGAGGAGGAGGACCTCGGGAGGCCTTGGTGACTTTGTCCTTGATGACGCTGACCTCGGCCACGAGTGCCACCTCCTTGAACAAGGCCAGGAGCTCATCCTCCGTCATGTGCTTCGGCACCTGCCCCACGAACAGCTTCACCCTCTCCTCTCCCCTCTCCACTGTACCCCCTCCTCCTCCTTCGCCTCCTTTCCTCTCTCCTTCAGCCATTCCTGCTCCCTTAGATCTATCTTTCTTCTTCCTATCTTCTCATGTGTTATTGACGACTCTCTCTCGCTCTCTCTCTCTCTGTTCTTCTTCTCCCCGATTTTGGTGGTGGTGGTGGTGGCGCATTAATGGTGCCAATCATTATTTTAATGAGGCCGGAGGAACACTTATGTCTCTTTTCCTTATTAAGAAAATATTACCAGAAGAAGAAGAAATATATGCAGTTAATAAAAGTAGTTTATTATTTTAATATATATTATCTATATAATGAAAATTCAATGTTGTAGGTATTTGGGATTACATGGCTCTGAACCCAAATCCTCCAACCTGGCCACGTGGCGTCATGACAGCGGTGCTACGAAGACGGTCTCCTGCCCGGGTCCGTATAGCCGACCCACGCCGTCGTCTCGCTCAACGGCGACGCTTCAGGCGCGCGTCGCGGGCTTGATTTCGTCCGTCCGCCGTCGATCGTACGGCTGCCGACGGTGGTCTTTTGAACCCGTTACGGTCGGCGTCGACGCTGGAAGCGGAGGAAGACGGTGACGGAGAAGGCGGCATGACGGAATGGCAGCGTCGTAATTGCAGGAAATGTCTGGGTCGATAAGTCACGGCTGCCAGGCTGGCCTTGTTGCTGTTGATTTGATCCCACATGTGGATCGGATAAGCACGTGATCGGAGAGTTGGTTGGATCCGTTCGCTCTTAGGTGGGATCTTCTCATGTTACCTTAAACGACTTAGACGTTTCATGGAGTAACACTTGATGAAAGCATGTCATGAAACCATTCAAGTTGGATTAAGAAGCACATAAAAGAACCTAATTCCCATGATCCACTCGCTGGCTTCTCTGACAACAGAAGGTTTTGCTTATACATGCAGTGAAACACCACTAAGTAATTCTGCAACCAATTCGAGCCTCAGCTGCTTATCTTTTGACATTGATAGTCACAAGCAATGTCATTGGCGATACTCTGTGCATCTTCTGCAGATCCATAAATCCCTCTTCTTGCAAGCCCAGCACAGTAGAGTCTGTTCTTGCCTTTCCAGTGGCCTGGGAACATTTGTTTGGCCATTCCATCTTCACCAAGGAGGTAGTCATCACCCTGCAACCATGTCCATCGTTCACTTGTTATTAAGTGCTCCAGAGTGGTCAAAGATGGAGGAAAATGGAGCACTGGAAGTGCAATCATTACCTTGAGCCATTTCTTCACTGCGCTTCTGTAGCCTGTAGCAAGAACTATGGCATCAAAATGCTGAAACTTTCCATCAGAAAACGTCACATAGTTATCTTTGATACTTTGTATTGAAGGTAACACCTGCGATCCATAGTTGCTACATCATGAGAGAGAGAGAGAGAGAGAGAGAGAGAGAGAGAGAGAGTGGTGTTGGTGGTAGTCAAGTAGTTCTGGGTGGTATTAGTATCGTATGAATTGAGAAGACATAGAAACAGAGAACACACCTGGATTTCTCCAGACTTGATCTTCTCCACTGTGCCAACATCAACAATAGGGTAGATTCGGCTGTACTTCTTCAGATACATTGGTCCCTTCCTTGGTTTGTGTAAGCCATGCTTGGACAGATCGCCAAACTTTAAGCGACATAGTAGCAGAATGAGAGAATCCAGCAGACGACATGGCAAGAATCTCATGAAAAGCATAGCCACTGACCATATCTCCTTCGACACAATGTGAAGCTGCAGCAAACAACAGTTTTAGATCAAGCAAAGCTCACCATGTCAACTCTAAAATGTTTTATTGTAATCTTGGATTGAGATGTATATACCTGTTGTAATGAAATCGTGGAGTTCAAGTAAATTGTATCCTTGGTTGATGCACTTACAGTATTCCAAAATAATAGCAACAATGATTATAGATTTTAAGATCAAATCTCGTACTTACCTTTTATCCTTTAAAAAAATTAATAATATAGATGTAAATATTGACTGACCATATATGATAAAATAAATAAACTATTATAAACAATTGAAGAGATACGAGACAACATAGGATGTATTTGAACTATTATTTTCTGCTGCATGCAGAGTATAAATATATTTTTAGTTGTAATTATCGATCAATAGTAATTTATGTTTAGAAGAAATTAAGACGTCGTCCCTACGAAACACATACCCGGCTTCGTACCACGATGGAAGTGCGGGCCCCGTGCTCGGCCAGATCGAGCGCCACTTCCATGCCCGAATTCCCACACCCAACCACCAGCACCGCCTTCCCTTCGTACTCCGATCCGGACCGGTACACGCTGGAGTGCACCACCGTGCCGCCGTACTCCGCCAGCCCCGGGATCTCCGGCACCACTATCTCATCGTTCTCCCCGCTCGCTACCACCAGGTACCTGGCCGCGTACTCCTGCACGCCCCCGTCCTCGCCGCGCCTCGCCTTGACCCGCCACCTCCCCTCCGCCTCGTCGTACTCCGCCGACACCACCTCTCGCCGCAGATCGATCCGGAGGCGGAACCCCGCCGCGTAATCGTCCAGGTACCGGATGAAGTCCCGCTTCGGCATGTACGTCGGCGTCTCCGGCCGGTGGGGCGCGTGCGGCAGCTCCGAGTACTGCTTCTTCAGGTGGAGGGTGACGCGGTCGTAGCATCGCTTGCGCCAGAGTGAGGCGATGCAGTCGTCGCGCTCGAGGATGAGGCATGGCACCGACAGCGCCATCAGGCACGCCGCCGTCGCCAGGCCGGACTGCCCAGCTCCCACTATCACCACCACGTCCTCTCTCATCTCTCTCTCTCTCTCTCTCTCTCTCTCTCTCTCTCTCTCTCTTCCGCTGCACTACGAATCGAGAACGAATGCTGTCCTAATTGTCGGCAGTGGAGAGGTTGGGTAATCAGCTTGGATAGCTATAAAAGCAGGTAGGCAAAAGAAAGCTTGGAGCTTTGTAACATGTGGGAGAGCAAACACGTACATACAGTACCGACAAAGCATCTAACGCAGTGTTTCACTGTGTGATCTTTATTCTCCCTTCCCATTTATTGAGTACGCTGGTTGATTAGTGGATGGTAAGATTACACATACATGCAGAGTGATCCACGCACGAAAGCGACAAAGATCGTGCCCAACCTGCTGTTGCACCGCAGAAAGAAACAAGAAGACAAGAAACCAATGGAATCCCGAGAGCTTTCAGTCTTGAATCATGCAGACCACTGATGTTACTTATCCTTTCTCCAAAAGAAAATGCAAGTGTTAATTAATAGCAGTCACATAATGATTTCTGGAGTTTTCAGTCTGTGTCCATTCAGGGCATTGATGATACTGACACTGTCTCCGAAAGAAACGGAAGTGTCTTAATAGCACAGCGGAATTATCACATCATGATTTCGAGAGCTTTCTGTAACCATTCAGGGCACTGATTTTTACTTATCCTGTCTTAAAAAAAACAGCAAGTGTTCATTAATAGCACAGCAGAATTTTCACGTAATAATTTCGAAATAATTAGTATAAATTTTGATTGTTCAAACTAAGATAATGATTTAGATCCAATTGAGATTCGTTTTAAATTAATTTTAATTTAGGATAATGTTTTGATCCTATAAAACTAAGTGAGAGGTGTTTCCGATAAATACCTCTCTAATAATCAATTCAATTTTAGGGTTCGATGTGATTGGACTAGTCAATCGTTATTAAAGTGAAGCTGTGTGTGATAGCATACCTAGGGTCCCTTTTATAGGTGACTCTAGAGACGATTATATCTAGAATCATTGGTGATAGGAGGGGAACGTTCGATATTTCAGGTAGAGACTTGTCATAATATCCATCGAACCTAGTGCCCACGTAGGCTGGTTGCACCAATCATGGGTTTAGATGGTTGGTCATTCAGCCACGTATCACCTCGTGATGAGTTCATGTCTCATGATCTGACCTTCACCTATCGGCTACATATGACTCCCTAGCCTTTAGCGATCGGTTCATCAGCTACATAGTAACATCATAATTGACATATCACTCTTCACCTATCACTAGCCTCACATCCCCACTCCTAGATCATCACATCATGGGGCTATTAAGATAAGAAATGCTTCGACTTATGCTATTAGCTCCGGTGGTATAGCTTACTCTCTGGTCTTTTGATCATGTGTCATTAAAATGCAAAGTTAGTCCGTAGGATATTTGTTGTTGACATGCATATTCAACCTATATGCTATGCATTGTCGATGTGCACATTTGGCATATATATTATGTATCATCAAAATATGTATTTGAGCTTTCAATAATACGTTGTTAGGGTGCACATTCGCTCTTAGGCTATGCATTTCGGCTGTACATAATTGAGATGCATATTTCACCCATAAGTTGTGCATCGTCAATGTTCACATTTGGCTTGTAAGTCATTATTAAAATGCACATTTGGTCTTTCGGCTAAACATTGCTGAGGTGCACTTTCGACCCATAAGTTGTGTATCGTCGAAATATATATTTGGCCTTTTAATTATGCATTGTTGAGGTGTACATTTGACTCATAGGTTATGCATTCGATAGTTTGACTTGAATTCATGACCTGGTCAACTATGCCCCAAGGTCATGGTATGCTTTGACCTTGGGGCATAATCAGTTAGTCAATCATATCTTCCACTTTATTAACTCTTTTGTTTTGATGCAAGATCACAATCTAATGATGACACTGATCAATCAAGTCACGAATTCATCAGTCACCCTAGCCCGAGTGTTGAAGGAGAGGGATGACTTGGTAGTGAGAGCCATCGAGAAGGATTCCCTAGTTAATAAGGCTGAGCAACTTCGAGTCTAGAAGATAAACTTGGAGAGAGAGTTGGCAATGGACCACCATCATTTGATAGATATAGTGAGTCGACAATAGACCAACAAGAAGCTCGCTCGCTAACGTACCGGCAGCATGGCGCTCGCTTTAAGAAGACGGAGTACCGAGCACATGTACTTCTGCCGGCGAATAATTTGGGGCACACATTTCCTGTGACTGCAGATCTAAATCCTGCCAAATCCCTTAGAGATTAATATACTCCAACTTGTTAGATCTCCAGGAACCCACGAGAAGAAAATGATATATAGCAGATGAGGAGCCACCAAACTCATGTGCATGTCTTTTCCTTGGGAACATGATTTTTGCCGCGACATGCTTTGAGAACAGTAAATATTTTTGTTTAAGTGAAAGTATGTACATTATAATAATTAAACAAGAACTCATCGGAGTCTTTCTTTATGTTTGCTTAGATTCAAGAGCTTTGGATTACGAAGGACGACAACTCATTTGCTTCGATCTGAAGGGCAAAACAAGTGGATGTCTGAGCTGGTAAGATAGCGAACTCCCTTTATGGAGTCGATGAGTTCCAACATACTGTGACACCGTCAATTTATAGATGTCACCCAAAAATAAGTAGAAACTGACTCGTTAACTGTATGAGGGATCAAACGTTCGATCCTATTGAACATTCAAATCGATTACCTGCGACGACCTCCCCGTTTTACCCTTCTTCTGACCCCCACTATTCGTCCAAATCGCGGCCTGAAATGGTCATTTGACAGTTAAAGAGGACACCTGGCGGTCACCGGCAGGTTGCTTCGCCTTGGGGGATGTCGGCGGCACAAAGTCCAACCCACGAGTCAACGTTCCCCTGAAGTCAAAAGGTTGGTTGTTTTTCGTTTCCTTTTTAACTTAACGTGATCCCTCGCTAGCAAAGGTGGGACTCACCGGGACCCTGGATCATTCCCCAGTTAACACACGGGTAGTCGAGGGAGTACGTTTGTTGGGCTGGAAAACAAATATTGATTTTAATTTTAAACTGCTTCGGAGGGACAACTCGGTCGGTGTCTCAAAATTCGATATTCTTACGCCAAAGCAGCTGGTGTTACCCCCCCAAGTGGACACACGCCGTCGCGTCAGAGGTGCAGGGGTTCGGTGGGAGAAAACGTGGGTAGAAATATCAGCAACGTCACACATGGATTTCCCGACGCCAGAAACCGTGACGTAGAATCTACGAAAACGAAAAGGATCAACTGCTTCCGCCATGCCACCATCCGTTTCAACTATCAAACCAGCATTTGCCATGTAACCAATTTCGTGGGTCCCATCGTCCAAACAGGCAATCGTTCTCGAATATTCACTCGCCACGTCATTCTTTTGCAAGAATTACTACAGCGGATTCCTTTTCGAATCCACCAGTCTCGTTCGCTCGCTCGTTGCCTGCCGTCTTCAATTGTAAACATCATTCAATGGTTTGTCCGGAGACCGTTCGGCGTCATTCGAGTGACACTACTTATTAGGGTTCATGGGGGGGAATTCGAGGGCGAATTCGCCGTCTTTCTACCTCCGCGGCGCGATCCGGAAGCCCAATCTGCGATCCCGAGTATCTTTCTTGCTGGCGTTTCCTTTTTCCTTGTCTTTTATCTTTTGATCGGCATTTGGTTATGGATTCATTTCCTCCTGTTTCTGTACCGGAGGACCACGAGGGCGCGATGGATACGGGTCAAGTGCTCGTGGAAATCCAGCCTCAAGAAGAACTTAGGTTCACATGTAAGTATCGGCGCATGAGTTCGTCGCCTGATGTTCTTGATCAATGGATAGGTTTCAAGATTTCGATTTCGAGAAGTGGATGAATTTCAGATAGCTGGAGTTCAAATATTTTTTGATAGGCCTAAAACATTGACGATTCTCATCTGATTTCAAATTTTCTGAATCTTGTCATTGTGATGTTGAGGCCCCCTCGTTGCCTCTTGCATGGCCAAAGTTCATTTGCTTTTTGGTAGTTTATGTTCTTTCCTTTTAAGAAAAAAGTATGTTCTTCCTATTTGACGTTCATATTATAGCTGGTTAAATAAAAGATTAATTAGAAAAGAAAGAAGTGTTGTGCACATGTTTAGTCATTGATTTTAGGGAATCCATGAATTGTCGAGTATGATGGTCATCAATATAGATGTTGGACTTGAAAGCCCATGAATAAAGATGAAACTAGAATAGCTTGGAATTCCTTGAGGTGGAAACAGGGTACTTAGAATCTGCAGTTCATGCTGGCATGAGTGATTTGTGTCTTCTGGAATTCCCATTTCATCCACTAATGAGGTACGTTCTGGTATGAACATAATACAGTTAGATAATTGACATGGACATATTTAAGATACAAATCCTCTTTTTCATCATGAACTAATGATCTGATACTCCTCGCATGGAATATCTTGGCAAGAATTAGAACTTCTATGACACTATTGGCTTTCACAAAAATTATAGCTGCTGAATCTATCAAGCTGAAAAAAATTTTACAAGTTATAATGATCAATCATTGGAATCTTTTTTAATATCTTGTTGACGTTTTTAAATTGATCCTATATGTGTATCATTTTGTTGGCTATGATCTTTTAAAATTGCTCTATCAATCATATTCATTCAAAGTCTCTTTTTTTTCCTGATTTTTCCACATAATGCTTATAACCTGCAAGATATCTAAAACCTAGGTTAGTTAATTTATGTAATTGTACACTGATACTAACATAATACACTTTCTTTGTCTATTCCAGTTGAGTTAAGGAAGCAGAGTTTTTGTTCTGTTCAACTTGTCAACATATCCAATGATTATGTTGCATTCAAGGTTAATGCTTCTCTCTTACTGTTTGCCTCCAATATAGAGATTACAACCGTTAGTGATGGGATAAGCAGGAATTGTATGCTCTGCACTTCAGTTCAAATTGCCTCTTGAAATTTTATGCTCTTTAAGTAACTTGTTCATTATTGCACTGAATTAGTAAATATTTGTTTGAGACCAGTCACTCTCGTCAGCATAGTCAAAATAGAATCTAATCTTGCATATTTCATTGTCTTCTGGTGTCAAACTTATCACTAATTAGTCTGAGATACTTTCCTTCCATTTCTTGTTCCATTATGATCTTCTCTAGTGCTGTACCTTATCCTTACTATCCATTGTCATTTGCTCTTTGTTTACTTTGCTAGATTCTCAAGCATTGGTGGTTAATGTCTCAGTTATTTTCTTGATCGATAGGCTTAATTATTCATGGAAGCCTACTTGTGTGCCTTTTGTTGGAGATGAATGTTGTCTTTGCATTGCCATTGCCATTGCCATTGTTCTCATGTGTTATTTGTAATTGAAAGTGATTAAACTATTTCCATATTCACTAGGTTAAAACAACATCTCCTAAGAGATACTGTGTGCAACCAAATATGGGCATCATTCTACCAAGATCAACATGCAACTTTACAGGTCTGCTATCTCGCTTTTGTTTTAACATTGTAAATATTCATGCCTAATATATAATCCAAAGTTTCTAGTTAGCAATTAATATCAGTTTATAAAAGGTGCTTCTTGAGTTATGGCTGTAAAAATTTTACAAGGAAATGAGATCAGACTGCATCCTGTTATCATATCTTTACTCGAGCCATTTCCCATCCACATGGATCAGCTAGAAGTTGTTACTGAATTTAATGATAATGTGCAAATAATTTCTATATTGCATATTGCCACATTAATGGTATCTGTGTGTTTGATTATTTGCTTGGTTATGCAATTCTATTTTAGTTACTATGCAAGCGCCGAAGGAAACTCCATGTGATATGCAATTAAAAGATAAGTTCCTTGTTCAGAGCACAGTCATTCCATTTGGTACTACTGATGAGGACATTGTACCAAGTTTTGTAAGTATCTAATAAATTGAAGTCTTATGTGTAGTATTATACTATGTCCCATGATTGTTCTTTTTTGGCTCTACAGTTCTTTAAAGAAAATGGTAAATATATCCAAGAAAACAAGTTGAGAGTTGCCCTTATCAGCCATCTACATCCTCCACCACCAGAAAATAGAACTTTGAGGCAGGAGCCAGCTCATGATATTCCTGATTTGGCTGAGATTTCTATTGCCACTAATGGCATTTTGAAACATGAACCAGCTGAAGAAGTTCCCATTTTGATAGAAACTTCTATCTCAAACAGTGGTGTTCTGAAACAGGAGCTTGATCATGAAAGAGAGATGTCAAAAGAGACTTGTTATTTTAGTGATCAAACACTTGGTGGAGTAGCAGATGTAACCCCATCTCTTGTAAGAGATCTCCTTCCCTGCATGTTTTCTGTTTCTGTTGCAGCTTCCTTTTTTGTTGGAAAGCTTACTTCAGATAGTGTCAATATTTGCACGTTTAATTTGTACTGAACTACCAGAATCTGGATCTTGTAAATATTATGTTTGTAAACAGGCATTTAATATAAACATTATGCACTTTCTGATATTATAGAATCATCTAGCCTCTATAATCATCAGATTTAATGATATTTGCAATTTTGATGTTGAAATTGGTTCATTACTTATGGTACCATAAATCTGTCTCCTTATCTGATGGAGCTTCTTAACTGGACTCATGTTTGTCCAGGTGGCCGAAGATATTGATGAGTTGAAGTTGAAACTCAATAATCTCGAAGCAAAATTCAATGAGGTTAGATAGTTCTAATATGTAGCTTTATTGTACCTATTTATGCTTTTATTCTGGTGTTATGCGTTATATTTCTTATTCCATGCTATTTTTTGGTATTGACAACTCTCTTTTGAGCAAGACTTTTGTTACCTTTTCCTGTTGGCAAGTCAAAATGGGAATAGCATACCATTGGAAGGGAAGCAAAGGTACCACTTATGGGGCCCATGCTGTCATCCTTCCTCTCTAATCACCTTGAATCCCCATTTGTCTTAACACCATCAGGAAACAAAGGCATTTATCATTCTCTCATATATCATGCTATTTTTCACCCGTGTCCCAGAACATTCTCTTGCAATCTGCATTTATCAGAAAAGAGTGATTTGCTGATTTTGCATAATGGAAATTGCATTGTGTACTGTACTATTTTAGACCATAAACAGTTGTTTTATTTTCAAAGTTCTTGCAATGTCTTTCAAATTGCATGTTTATATTGTATTCAGAACCTCGCAGAGCATATTTGAATAACCATATTACTAAGCAGAGCTTCAGGTTTCAGTTCAGTTGCTCTAGTTGTGTTTTGTTTCTACTTGTAGCTGTAACATTGGAATTTATAATAGTAATACATAGTAATATTATATATATATATATA